TCCTACAGACTCTGTGTTCTCCTCAGATCTCGGACTGCATCTTTGCTTCCGATGTCCCTCATTACTTCTCTGTCCGTCAGCATCTGTCATTCTGTCTTTTTGTCTCTACAAAGGGCTTTAAGAATTGCTCACACCTGCCCAAAACACTACACCCTCAGATGTTACTTGATTGCCTTCCGCTCATGAGTCAGATCTGGGTTCAAACAATACCTCCTTTGAGAGGTTATCCTGGCCATCCCAGATAGAGTGTTTACTACTTGATTTCATTTTTTTTTTTTCTTGTTGCATCTATCACTCCACGCCATTTGGTTTTATCATGGGTATTCCATCTTTTCTCACTAGAATGTCATCCCATGAAAAGGACCCTGGCCCTGCTCTATCTCATTCCCCTATCATGTATCACCAGCACTTTTAAAAACTGCTCTGTAAAAAGTATTATTATTTCCTGTTCATACATTTTCAAAGTGTGCAGTTTGGGAGGAGGAGATGGACTTGTTCCTAAATAAATGTTCATGTATAATCTGATAACAGAGTGTGACAGACTAGATGTCATAAGACTTGAGTTATTTTTCAGTTACTGTGGGACCAGTGACTCGTCATTCCATCCTGCCTTCACAGTATTTCACAACATGTTTCACTCAACTTTTTAAACCAGTTCACCATCTTCATTAGTTCTTCCCACTAACCCACATCACATGTGACCCACCAAACAGCAGTGGATTCTAAGAGGGCAGCAAGAAAAGAGAGAATAGTGAGTACATGAAACCCAGGGAAAAGCTATAATTATTCTCATAAACTTGTAAGCAATTTTAAATACAACATCAATAATCATTAATTAATAAGCACTGAAAGTTGAGCTAATAGCCTCAAGTGAGCTGGCAACACTAAAATCTAGGTGCTAAAAATATGGTTCTCAGCCTCTTTATGGTCCGGCACAATTTCAAATACCAGAATTTTGAGAAAACAGTTGAAAAGATTAAGACTCAAGAAACTGCTAAGTCAGCAATAAATGCAAAATCATTGTAACAGCATAAAGCAAAGCTACATATTGTCTACAAAGACCTCACAGGCATGATGTGTCATAACTCCGAATCCCTGTGCTGTTCTTAGCCGTTCAGTCATGTCCAACTCTTTGTGACCCCATGGACTGTAGTCTGCCAGGCTCCTCTGTCCATGGGGATTTTCCAGGCAAGAATACTGGAGTGGGTTACCATGCCCTCCAGGGGATCTTCCCAACCCAGGGATCGAACCCAGGTCTCCCACACTGCCGGTGGATTCTTTACCAGCTGAGCTACTAGGGAAGCCCTTCCGCAGCCTTAGGCATTTATATTTTGCTTGAAGAGAACAGTCAGTGCCCTTGCAGTACTCAGGGACATAATCCAAAAGTTAAGTCATCTCTTGGTTGTACATTTTCCTTTAATGAGAGTTTGATTTATGTTAAACCACCTCTCCTATAATAAATTGTACCTAGTTTGCACTGCATTCCAGGAACAACTCAGGTCACGTTCTGTTTGACAGACATTGCCTGTTGGCAGAATGCTCAGCTGTAGTAAAATAAATTTTAAATGTTGAGTAAAAGACCTGATTAAGTGGAAAGATTTGTACAAAGGTAAGAAATATGGTTTTTAAAAAAATAACGCAAATGGAAGTAAAATCATAAAGGGTCATAAATATTAAAATGTTAAATAGTCACAGAAGAGCCACTGATTTACTAATTAATTTATTCATTTAACAGATATTTATTGAGCATCTTCTATGTGCTGGGTTGTCTCCTAAGTGAGTGATAGAGAATATGATAAAAAACAAAGCCCACTTCTTCACAGAGCTTACTTTTCAGTGAGAGTAACAGATAGCAACCAAAAAAAAACTTTTTAAAGTCAAAACCCAAGTAAACATATACTTACTCAGGGTAGTGATAAGGGCAAAGGCAGCATAGAATACAGAGTATGGGGAAGAGTGGCAACAAATATACACAGTGTGGTCTAGGGATGACTCACTGCTAGGGTGACATTTGTGAAGAGGCTTAAAGGAAGTTAAGAAAGTTGAGAAAGCCTGGGCTGCAGATTCCAAAGGGTAGATTGTAACAGGCAGTGGCAACCACAGGTGCAGAGGCCCTGAGGCAAGAATACACCTGTGACAAGGATGACCTACTGGAAGGGAATATTCGCAAGGAGGGTTGGTAGGAAAGAAAGTAAGAGGAGCAGAGATGCTGGGAACTTGGGAGACATGGACAAGATCAAGTAAGACCGCTGCAAATACTCTGGCTTCTCTTCTGAATGAAATGAGTAGTCAGTGGAGGGTTCTCACCAGAGTGACATCGTTAAATATGCATTTTAAAATGATAGCTCTGGAAGAATTAAAAATGCAAACAAGGAGATCAGGGGAGAGATAACAGTGGAGTTTGAATCAGAGTGCTAGCTGTGGAAGAGGTGAGAAGCACTTGAATTCTACATATAATACGAAAGTAAAGCTGAAATAATTTGCTAATCAATCAGGTATGATGTGGGAGAGAAAGATAGGAATTTAAGATGACTCTAAAGCATTTAGCCAAAGAATTGGATTGAGATGGAGGATACCACAAGAGTAGGTCTGGAATCAAAATAAGACATTTGATTTTGGAAAACATGAGGTTAGCATTCTGTGCTGTCCGAATCAGCAGTTACTGGCCAAATGTTGGTATTAACATTTACATATTAATTAATGAAAGTTAAAATTTACAATTCAATTCCTCAGTTGCATTTGCCACATTTAAAGTGCTCAGTATGGAGAAGGAAATGGCAACCCAGTCCAGTTTTCTTGCCTGGGAAATCCCATGGACAGAGAAACCTGGCACTCTCTCGTCCAGGGGGTTGCAAAGTCAGACACAACTGAGCAACTAAACAACGTAGCAGAAAGGGCTTGATTGACACCAGATAATAGGAAGTTGAACTATATTTGTTCTTGTTCCACCCAGTGGTTCTCAACTAAGTAGGATACCCTTAGAAGACATCTGAAAATGTATAGGGTGTTTGGGATAGACTGATGGGTGTCATGGGCATTTTGTGGCCATGATCTTAGGACAGTGACTTGTCACAGTTCAGCACAATGAAGACAAGTTCTCTCATTCAAAATGTCAACAGCTTCTCCATGGAAAGAATGAGTCTGCCCTCCTTCTAGCAATACTCCACAGTCCATAAAGTGAAGCAATATAGACATTAGAACATGGTGCTGGTCTTAGATAAACTTGTGTACAACCTGTTCTGACTTAAACTTGCTGTATGGCTTGGGATCATTTCCTAGATCCTGAGACTTCATTTCCTCGTCTAAATAATGCAGAAAACAATTATTAATATACATCATCTAGGGTGGTTCTCAGAATTATGGAACTCTTTATAGTACTTGGCTCAGTGTTTGGCTCAGGAAGTCATATAAATGTACACTATTACTAGAAGCGGAAAAAGAGGATGAAAGAGGAAGTCCAATATAGACTTAAATAAGCAAGATGTAAATTCAAATAGAAAAGGAAGTCTAGAGCAGCACTGTCCATCCAAAAATATGGATCAAAAAAAAAAAAAAACTTCAAGTTTTTTTTCAGCACATGCAACATTTAAATGTTCCCCAGCCACATTAAAAAAAGAAACAGGTAAAATTAATTTTATTAATATCCAATATTTAAGTAACCAACTATATCCAAAAATTTTATTTCAATATATAATCAATATAAAAATCAGAGGCATTTTCAATTTTTTGGTATCATTTTCTTTAAATTTTATGTGTATTTTACTTACCCAGTGCTCAGCAGCCACATGGGGCTACAGCACAAGGCTACAGTATAAATGAATCCAACTCTTTATTGACTGCTAACATTCAGTAATTAAAAGATTCTTACAAGTTAACATTTCAATGTGTAGAGGGTGGTTTCATAAAAGTCTCAAGTATTATATTTAGGAAATTTAACTCAGGATCTTCATATAAGCTGAGGCATGCCAGAGTTGTAGAATGATTGATCAGTCATGAGTGGGCTCAATGAGTTGTAGGTTCCCATTCCAACTCTACAACTTCCTGTGTCCTTGAACAAGTTAGCTAGTCAAAAACCTGTGTTCTTACTTGCGAAAGAAATAATGGTACTAGCTTCCCTAAGGATTGCTATGAGGATCACGTACATAGTATTAGCCCAGTGCCTAAAGAAATTTTCCAAATGTGAACTGTTGATATTTGCTATGTGGGTTGAGAAATAGGACAGAAGTCACAAGAATTCTAGTTATTCTTTACATATACACACAAGTATTTCAGAGTTGAATTACTTTTTTAATTACTTTTGTTAATAAAACAAGAGAACATTGTATGCTTTCAGAGCTGAGCGTTTTGTCACAGTGAGTGCAGTGATTTGTCCCTGTGGTCAGATATAACTCAACCTCTGGAAGACAGTCTGGCACCTGGTAGGTCCTCAGAAAGTTTATTAAAAAGATTTTTGGCTACAGAATTTCTGAGCAGTTAGTTATAAACACACTACTGAAAGTATGATTACTAGCCAATGATGGTGATTTAATCTTTATTCTTATATTTAAATTATAAAGTTTATGCAGCTATTTTTCAATGAGAACAGTCTCTGCCACAAATTTAAGATCCTTGAGTTGATACAAAGTTTAAAAGCACAAGGCAAGATTAATGATTGGTAGCTTATTAGCCACAGTAGTAGTTCTATATATAAGTTACTAAAATATAATCTCAATATGGTATCTTCAAGGCTATCCCACTTATTCCATATGTAAATGTTAAAACTCACACTAAATTCCTATAAAGTTTAAAAAAGCATGCAACACTGGTGTAGCACAAACAGATTTATTTACTAACCAAAGAGATGACCCTAATTAAACCAACACTTTGAAATAGTTTAATTGTTCGTGATAAAGATAATTGAAAGCAATAATGAAAAAAAACCAGCAGTATGGAGATTTGCTCATTGAACTGAGCTCGTTCATCCTCGCAACTAATTTCTGTGCAAAATGATGATGGAATTTTTATTCTACTTTTTCATAGACCCGAGTACAGGTAACATTGTTCATGACGCATACCTAGAAGAAAGAATGTCATTAAAAAGAGGCAAGTTAGTCTTACATCACAGAGTAATGGTGGTAGTTGAATGCTAGGATCACAATCCTACAAAACATTGAAAATCTACTTCACAGATGGAGAAAATGCACTTGAGGATTCCTGGGTTTGAAAAGCTAGAACCTGTTATTTTATTTATGATGTGTATACGCTTTACTGAAAACTACTGATTTGCAATATCTAAACTATTCATTTAGTTTTAGCAAATACTATTCCTCATTTTAAAGAAACAGAAAAATGTATGCTCAAGATTATATAGTCATTTTTTACAAACTGAAGGTTTGTGGCAACCCTGCATTGAATAAGTCTATGGAGCCATTTTTCTAACAGCATTTGCTTACTTTCTGTCTGTCACATTTTGTTAACTTTCACAATATTTCGAAGTTTTTCATTATTACTACTATGTTGGTTGTGGTGATTAGTGATCTGTGATATTACTCTTATAATCTGGGGGCTGTTTTCAGCAAAAAGTATTTTTAAAATTAAGGCAGGTATATTGTTTTTTCAGACAGAAAGCTATTGCATACTTAATACAACAGTGTAAATATAAATTTTATATGCACTGAGAAACCAGAAAATTTATGTGACTCACTTTATTGCGATGTTCCATTTATTGTAGTGGTCTGGAATCGAACCTACAGTATCTCTGAGGTGTGCCTGCACTGTAGACGGAGCAGCATAACATGGACTAGACCCAGCTCCTGCTATATCATCTTCTCTAGCTCCACAAAGGGCTTTCTTTAGTTATTAAGTATTCTTGTATTTATCTTGTTATTTGGCACTTTTTTTTCCTTCAACCTAGTTCTCCTGTTCATGATCAGTGATCTAGAACATTTATGTGAACTATAAATTCATATAAGACATAAGATGTCAGACACTTACCACCACTAATTTCCCATCTTCCAGTTTTCTTGTTATTGTGCTTTCCTTTCCATCCCATTCCTGATGTTGAACCAATGCGCCATCTGTAAAGTTGCAGACAGTCTGCCAAAATAGAGTATCTTTTTTAATCTTCCAGAGCACAATGAAGAAGAGTTTCTGTGACTTATAACCTCCTTACCAACATTTTTTTATTTTTTCCCTTCTGAGTCTACTTCACCTCATTATACTAATTTCATTCATACTAATTTCATTTCACCATATTAATTTCATTCATAATGTAGTTTGTGCTTTTCAATCTAGATGTCCCTTAAAACTATTTTTACAAAACAGATTAAGTTGTGAAATCGGTATTTTCACTAATTTGTCAAAACTCAGTTCATAAAACAACTTGAGACTTTTTCATTAAGTTCTGGCCTGAAAGTAGTAAGAATGTTATTAATAGAGTTAATCATTCTGCAAGCTTCTGTGATATTACAAATTATAATTAACCTGAGTCTTTCTGCCATCAGCTGTGGTCTCTTCGAACTTCTCTCCCAGTTTACAGGAAAACTGTGTTGTTTTCAAAGTGCTCTCAGTTTTTATACTGAGGTTTTTGCCATCAGAAGTGATGATACAGTCTGGTTTGGCCATCGCACCCACTTTTCGCAGAGCCATCCCCACTCCTGTAGAAAGTTATACCATGTTAGACACCTGGAAGACCAAAGTTCTCGTTTACATAATAAAAGCAGTAATTCAATTGCAATCACCACGCTGTGCATATTTTCAACTATTCAGTCATCAATGGGGAAGGCAATAGCACCCCACTCCAGTACTCTTTGCCTGGAAAATCCCATGGATGGAGGAGCCTGGTGGGCTGCAGTCCATGGGGTCACTAAGAGTCAGACACGACTGAGCGACCTCACTTTCACTTTTCACTTTCATGCATCGGAGAAGGAAATGGCAACCCACTCCAGTGTTCTTGCCTGGAGAATCCCAGGGACGGGGGAGCCTGGTGGGCTGCCGTCTGTGAGGTCACACAGAGTCGGACACGACTGAAGCGACTTAGCAGCAGGAGCAGCGGTCATCAGTAACAACTGTGAACATACACATATCCAGCGCTTACCAAGCACTAGTACCTGACGTGTACTATTCATGGAAGCCAGGCAAGGGCCTTGAGAGAGGTAGATAGTCTCCATCTGACAGATGAGTAAGTGAAGCACTGATGTAACTTACTCAAGCCCATCCAGCTAAGAAGGGAGGTGCTGAGAACCAACAACGCAGGCAGTCTAGCTCTAAATCTCAGCTTTAAGACATCATGCCATGTTGGCCCTCAGAAACTTAAGGTATCCTGACTTCTATAATTTCCTCAGTTCTGCCAACCACTGAATTACATGACTCCAGCACATAGTCTAGCACGTAAATCCCTGATAAATATTTGATTAGTAAACTACACAAAATCAGTATCAATCCTGAGATATTCAAATTGCAGTTTTAAGAGTTAACTGCACAATCATGATGCTAACAAACAGGAAAATCCTTACCCTCACAAATAGTATTTCAGAACTCTGTAACTCAGATTACTCTATTAATACATTTATTTTATAATCCATGTGTTTCCCCCTAATATTACCATTTAGTAGGAAACTTGGTTCTAGGCCAAATCTCAGTTTCATGGATGATGCGACCACAGCCTAAGCAGAGTAACTGACTTGATGAACACGCAGCCCGGCTTGACATGTCCCCGCGGAGCCTTCTCTTTTCCAGCTAGGCTCTGGTGCTTTGTTTCATTAGCTGAGTCATTATTTTCTCACTTTGGACAAATAAAGGGCTCTGCTCTTTCCACACCTTGCTTGCTCTCTAATGAATTGTACCCTGACAACCTTCCTGACTCCAGAACTCTGGAAACAAGCCATCTGATAAACACGTTCGGTTTCAGTGGGCAGAGAAACCGCCTTCTGTGGTCCTCACTCAGGTGCACACACACATATGTATGTCTCCTTTGTGAGTGCAGTTAGTTGCTTTTTGTCCAGAGTCACCTTGATCAAGGTATAGAGCGGAGGGGAAAAAAATAAATACTGCCTTGTTTTATTCACAGGATCATAAACACACTCAAGATTCACCAGAGCCAGACTTAACCAGCCATCAGCTAGAAGGTGTGTTTCTGAAGTACTTCAGGGTACTTTGGAGTCTAGGTCTTTGTAATGACTTCTTCACTCATTTATCATTTGGTAATAGAAAGTTACTATTTGCAGGAGGCTAGCTTCTAAAACGGAGAAGGCAATGGCACCCCACTCCAGTACTCTTGCCTGGAAAATCCCATGTACGGAGGAGCCTGGTAGGCTACAGTCCATGGGGTCGGGAAGAGTCGGACACGACCGAGCGACTTCACTTTCAGTTTTCACTTTCATGCATTGGAGAAGGAAATGGCGGCCCACTCCAGTGTTCTTGCCTGGAGAATCCCAGGGATGGGAGCCTGGTGGGCTGCCGTCTATGGGGTCGCACAGAGTTGGACACGACTGACGTGACTTAGCAGCAGCAGCTTCTAAAACAGCCCTACAGCCCCAGCAGTTGTGTCAGACAGAATCTTTGCTATGCTTCACTTCCTAGGGGCCTGTGACTAAAGTTCACCTTTGCCAATCTACCCAATGTCACAATCAGCACTCTATCGTTGTCACTGGCTTACGAAACAGACAACAGAAAATCCAACACCATTTTGAGCGAGAGAACTTGAATCTCCCTACAGAGACACATCCTCCCTTGGAAGGCTTTTAAGAAGTCAAGTGCCTCACTCTGTAGAACAGGCTCTAGTTTCATCTAAGTCACTAGAACTGACTCAAATTTGTTCTTTTTTCTGGCTGAGTAATAGTCCACTATATATATCTACCACATCTTCTTTATCCATTCATCTGTGGATGGACATCTAGATTGCCTCCATGTCCTGGCTATCCTAAAGAGTGATGGTATGAACATTGGGGTACACGTGTCTTTTACAATTTTGGTTTGCTCAGGGCATATACCCAGTGGTGGAGTTGCTAAGTATTAAGGCATATATATGGAATCTAGAAAAATGATACTGATGAACCTATCTGCAGGGAAGGAATAGAACTGCAGATATAGAGAATGGACTTATTGGCACAGTCAGGGAGGAGAACGCGGAAGGAATGCAGAAAGGAGCATCAACATGCACACACTATCAGCTGTAAGATGGATGACTGGCGAGAAGTTGTGTAGCACTGGGAGGCCAGTCAGGTGCTCTGTGATGACCTGGAGGGATGGGATGGGGGCAAGGGAGGGAGACTTGGAAGGGAGCGGATATATGCATAATCATGGCTAGTTCCCCTTGCTGTATGGCAGAAATCAACACAATCTGTAAAAATTTTTTAAAAATAATAATTTAAAAAAAATCAAGTGTCTTGGGCAAGGCCACGCCCATCTTGGAGGCAGTTGGAAAGCAGCTGAAGGACCGGCAGTTTCTGACTGCGGTTCCCGGTGAAGCCTCTCTGCGCTCCACCCTCTAGACATAGAAGGCGGCAGGGCATTGCTACCCCGGGTACACTCGACCTCACCGCGCTCCTCCCACACGCCACCCGGCCAGGTCACTGTCGCCAGCGCCACGCCTCTGAGCCCCGCTCCGGGGCGTGGAGAGAAGATGCCCTGATGCTCCACCGGGGGAGCCCGGCCAACCCACAATGGCCCGACGCACGCGGCGAAGGGCTCTGGGGGGGCGGGGCGGGGGAGGGGGATGCAACCGAGAGCGAAATGGAAGCTGAAGCGGTAACCCGGATTTCGGCTGGAAACCGAGTCCCAGTGTAGAAGAGGCAGGGGACCCTGCGCGCCACCTGGGAACAAAAGATGCTGCAAGGTGGGCCGAGGCAAGTGGGTGCGGCCACGACCGGGCGAGTGCGAGGGAGGACGATGGCACAAGAGCGGATGAGTGGCGGGGGAAGAAAATTAGGAAAAGCTAAGAGGGCCGCCTGGAAGGGGCGAAAGAAAAGAAGCTCGGAGTGGGAGAGGAGTGAGCGCGCTAAAGGGCAGGAAAGCAGGGGTCGCGTGGGCCCGGGGAAAGCGGCAGAGTGCGGGGCAGATCAAGAGGCCGACGGTCCGGGGAATCCGGAGCTGGCGGGAGGCGCTCCCTCCGCTGCTAAACTGCGATGAGGGTGGGAGGTGGAGGAAAACGGGGTCAGGGGTAGGCGGCCGCGCACGCCCGGCCTTTCAGCCTAGCACGCCGAAGGGGGCCTACGGTCAGACAGCCACACACGCGTGCCACGTTGCCGCGCCGTATGGCGGGGAACCTCACCTACTTCCTTCATGTATTCGTCAAAGCCTTTGCTCTCCACTAAGCGCCATCTTCCTACCAGCTGCTGAACAGTGGCCATGGTGGGTCCGAGCGGACAGGCGTGACAAGCGAGCGGAGAAGGGTCGAGCGCCGGGAATCAAGCGTGCGGTTGCCGGGCCACGCGCGCGGCTTTATAAAGGCAGAGCGCGCGCGCGGGCGGTGCCCGGCGACCAATGAGAAGCGCGCCTCGTCCTCCCGACCCGCCCTCCGCGCCCCCGGGCCTGGCTCCTGGGGTCCAGAAGAGCTAAACTGCTCCACCTGCCGCGGCGGCTGGGGCTCCGCGGGCTCCCTCTGCAAGCTGGGACTAGTCCTAGTCCGACGCGCCTCACGCCGCCACGGACGCCAGCCCCTGCGCCTCCCGCGCCTCCGCACGCCCAGGAAGCCAGAGGGGCTACGGGCGGACCCGGCCCGGTTCTCCCGGGCCCGTTGATCCCATGCCAAGCTGCCGCCCCTCCTCCCGTTCGTGACACCCCCAAAGAATCGATTAGCCTTCGTTCGGTTCCCATTGCAGGAGTTGATCAGTGGCTTAATTGACTGATCGGTAAACTTCTTCGCCTTTTTAATCACTGCTGGGGCGAAGGGTTGGGGGACAAACCCGCATCCCATACCCTCCTGAAATAACCTGTTCCCACTCAGACGCCACTCCCGGCCCAGCTGGGGCCTCGGAGGGTATCTAACCTGAGTTGAGTTAGGCTATCTTATCAGAAGGTCCTGGGTGCGGGGAGATGTCCCAGGCAGTTCGGTTTCCAAACTCTGACTCTGTATACGGTTATCAGTTTAAATGACTGCCATAGCTATTAAATGTTCTCATTCAAGTATGTTTTATTATTTACATTTTCAGCTGAGCGGAGCCCTGAACAATTTCTCCTCAGGCTCCCAAGTCTTTAGACTCCAGTGGTTCTCCTCTTCTCCTTTAATCTTAATACTACCCTGTATTTATTTGTAAGTAGAACGTTCTACTTTTAAAAGTGTGCCTGTCACAGGATCTCTGTGCTCCTGGGTTGCTGTGGGAGTGAGTTGGAGTGAGATGTGGAAATTGCCACACACAGAGGGTAGCCACCTTGGTGGAGATAAGCTCCATTTATTGAATGCCTCCTTGCTACATGCTGTGCTTCCTGGCCCCTTTATATCTGTTAATGCTGATGCCCACAGGATTTTTACTCAAGGGTATTATCCCAATTTTCTGAAAGAGAAATGAGGCAGGGAAAGTTTGCAGAGTGGAAGAACCAGAATTCCTGTCCAGGTTCCTCTCATTTTAGACTTTGTGAAATAGGACCACACCTGGCTGCCTCAAGCTCACCCTCCTCTTCATGGGATTAAGAATAGAGGCTACATACTGAATACATACCCTGAATTGTTCCAAGACACTAGTTCTTCTTGCACCTTCCCTAACAAACTGAAATCTGAGCTTGTCATTTCCCGGAATGCCTCAGGACATTTACTCACCTGCAGTGTATTCTTGCCTTAATCCTAGGGTTAACCCAGTTTCCCCAGTGGCACCATTTTAATGCTGAGAGACTCAGGTCACATAGTTGTGTCACTAAGGGCTGGCATGTCCCATACTTGAGGCTCAACTGCTCCCAGAAAATGTTCCTGTTCTGAGGGCAGCTGAGCACGACATTTGCCCAGCAGAGCAAGTGCTGGCTTCCAGACACTTATGGCCCACTGCTCCTGCCTCCCAGAGAAGCAGCTCCTATGTGCTTGGACTTGCCTTCTTAATGTGCTAGGTCAACATGTTTGCCCATTTTTGTATAGAATATTATAATAATAGCCAGGACTCAGTACTGGAATACTAGTTTTTAGATTATCATAATCAACCATGCTTGATACTAAATACTTAGGTACTCAAGAAATCATTTTTATACCAGAGGCATTATCCAAAATTTAACTTTTAAACACACTCTTTGATGTGATGAGTGTGTGGATGAAAAAATGTAGCCTGCCAAGTCAGTAAACAAAGGATGTTGCAGGCCTCAGCCTAAACACCACCCTGACTCTGCACCCTGAGGGGATTCAGGGTCAGAGAAAAGCAGAATCCTGGCCCTAGATAGTTAAGGTTCATGTCAAAGGAGTGATCTCCATGAGCCCAGATTCTTGCAACTTTCCTGGTGGCTCAGTGGTAAAGAATCCTCATGCCAATGAAGAAGTTGTGGTCCTTAGTCGGGAAGATCCCCTGGAGGAGGGATGGCAACCCACTCCAATATTCTTGCCTGGCAGGCTACAGTCCATGGGGTCACAAAGAGTCAGACTGAGCAGCCACACAAGTATGTGCAGATTCTTGCCTCTTCCCATACATAAGAAAGCGAAGCACTGAAATCATTAAGTGGAGATACCTGGTTTTCTTTAACAGTAGTCTTTTGATGTTCTGACTATCTGGTTTTAGTTGCAAAAACTCCTATATATCCTGGCTCTTCCCTTACCTCTTTGCAACAGTTCCTCAGAACTATCGGAGAGGTCATCTTCCAGGCTTAAGTCCTCAGGAATTCCACCGAATAAAACATACTTCTCAATTTTGCCTACAGTCTATGGGATCTCAAAGAGTTGGACACGACTGAGCCATTGAGCACACACACATTCAACTTTTAGCTTGTGCATTTTTTCTGGTCAACAAATGGGAATAATCCTTTTGTGGTTAAAACACATCAACAAAACAAAGATACAGGTCAAAATACCTGTTAGTGTCTCCCATGGGACAGAGCCAAAGGGCATGGTGGTGGCTCTGCTACTCAGAGCAATGCACTTAATCCCTTGTTCTCTGATGCTTCTCAACTGTATTACAGACCTGGAGAGAGATTGAAGCCAGGTTATTTCTAAGGTCCCTCAAGCCCTAAATTCAGATTCCCTTCCTTTCTTAAGAGTAATAGTAATGGATTATGTGCCTTGTGCTCAGATGCTTTAGTCGTGTCTGACTCTTTGCAACCCCATGGACCATAGCCCTCCAGGCTCTTCTGTCTATGGGATTTTCCCAGCAAGAATACTGGGGTGGGTTGCCACTTCCTCCTCCAGGGGATCTTCCTGACCCAGGGATCGAACCTGGATCTCCTGCATTGCAGACGAACTCTTTACTGCTGAGTCGCCGAGGAAGCCCAGTAATGGATTACAAACTCTGAAAAACACTAAGTATTTCCTTAACCTTCAAACTAAAGTCCTGTTCTAGGCTACTTAACTTGAACCCAATATAAATGTAAAAACAAAAAATGCTATGAAAACAAATCTGATTAAAGTCTAGTATGACTTTATGGAATTGTAGACAGAGACTATCACCTGCCATTTCAGTAAACAAAGCATGTTGCTGTGGCCAGCAACATGATATAACAGTGATCCTGATGTGCACCCTGAAGGGATTCAGGATGGAGGAAAAACAGCATCCTGGCCCTAGGTAGTTAAGATGCATATCAAAAAATAATTTCAATGAGCCCAGACTCTTGCATCTTCCCACACAAAGAAAAACACTAAAATCATTATTGTGAGATGTCCATTTTTGTGTTTAGCAGTTATCTTTTGATATCTGACTACGTAGGGTTTTTTTGTTTGTTTTGTTGCTATTTTCAGCAAAAGCTATATATCCTGGCTTCTCCCTTATTTCTGCAGAGCAGTCCCTCAGAGCTGAGAGGCTGAATCCCTGGCTTAAGTTCTTAGAAAGTTCACCAAATAAAATATAATTCTCAACTTTTGGTTTGTGCATTTTTTTTTTTCAGTCTACAGAATGGTTGAGTATCTCTTCATTGGACAAAGGGAAGAGAATTATCACTTGGTTGAGATTAATTACATTAGGATACAGGGCTTCCCAGGTGGCACTAGTGGTAAAGAACCCACCTGCCAATGCAGGAGACATAAGAGACATGGGTTCAATCCCTGGGTCAGGAAGATTTCCTGGAAGAGGGCGTGACAACCCATTCTAGTATTCTCACCTGGAGAATCCCATAAACAGAGTTTCCTGGTGGGCCCCAGTCCGTAGCGTCACACAGAGTACGACAGGACTGAAACGATTTAGCACACACAGGGAAGAAGTGCCAATAACTTTGTTGCAGCCTGTCTTTAAAAGCAGAAGGAGCCCTGTTGGTCATCAGTTTTAGTGGCAACACAGAGACCACAAATACAGGTGTCACATCATGTATTCCGTCATGCTAGAGGATAATAAAATAGTATTTATTCTTGTAGGTGAAAATGGCTGAAGAATCCTGAATTACTCTAGCATCTCTTCACCCAGTGCTTCTACAAGACAACCAATTATAAGACAGATGAAGTTTTCTTTAATATCTTTGAACCTCAGTTCTCTCATCTATGGAATTAAGGAGGTAAGGCTTAGACTAATTGATTTCTTAGATCTCTTTCAGTTTATGAAGCAGTCTTGCAGTAGTTGATAGCCCTGAAGAAAATACTCAAAATTACTCTATTTCCACCTAGTGGTAAAATGAAGTATTTCTTGCAGCTTTTCTTGGGTAATAACTTGCCAACTTCCACAATCACACGATACCTTTGATGCATATCATATAATTTTGCTTAAAGACAAGCTCCCAGTTTCAGTTTGTATAGATGAATGTGCCTCCCACAGAGTTAGTTATAATGTGTAAACATTTCCTAAGACAGCAAGCATTGGTGACCTAGAAGCACACAGCTGGTTGAAAAAGAGAGCACCACATTAAATGAATAGCTACAGATTACAGAAAGCAATCCATGTTCAAACCATTGAGTCTTCTCGAAGTGTATTCCCAGATTAATCAAAAAAAGGAGGAGAAAAAGCCAGATGATCTCTACCAAATGTTACTTTTCAAATTTTAGTGTGCAGATCACTCAGGGATCTTCTTATAGTATAGATTCTGATATAGCAGTTCCAGAATAGGACATAAGACCACGCATTTCTAACAAACTCCTAGGTGATGCCAATACTGGAGTCTAGGGACCTTGCCTTGAGTAGCAAGGCTGTAAAGTGAGCACAAATTTGCCTAAGGCTTTGCCACACCTGGCTGACTTTCACTTCAGTGCATGTATATTTTCTGACCATATCCCCATAAAAATATATAGAAAAAATGGGAAATC